GTGACAAGAGATAAGTGATAAGTGATAACCCTATTTTTTTTTCTTTGGGTTAAATGTGATAACCCTATCTTATCTTATTAGAACCAAAATTAACCACCCATTTATTTTTTAACAGACACTAGATGTGATAACCTCTAACGTTTTGTTTTTTAATATATTTTCAAACTTTATAAATATTTTTGCAAACATTAACTTTTATCAATATTTTTGATATAAATTACATGTGCATATATGAAGCTTATATGAGTGATTTATTATCATCGAATATTTTTTGTTTTGTTTAGGAGTTAATGGAGGAAACTAAAATTAAAGAAGAATAACAACAAATAATGGTTTTCAACCACTGTGCTGTCTATAAGGTTTTGAAATGCACTTGTATCGATGTGTACATATCACATCGACCAAACCTTATGAGATTCGAACATGTTCATAAAATATTTGGAGCCGAAAACTTCTATAAGATTTTTTTATGCCAACTCTCTTTCCATATCCGGTTGTGTTCGCATGCATGCTCTTACACTACCAAAATATCTTGAAAGATTTTAAAAATGGAAATCAGATCTGCCGTGAATGAGCAAGATATACCATCGTGAGACCGCCACAATATTTCGATGATTTTCGTGTGTGTTTTAACACGCTTCCATTTGCCGAGATAGATATTACATAAAATAAACATTGTATGCAATGCTTAGAAATTAAATATGCATTTGTTATTGTTGTTTTTAAGATGTCATTGAATGAGATAGGGAAAGCCATCAAATCTTCTGTACTAGAAAATGCGATAGAATGCCAAAGTAGATAAAAAAAAACTATACGCCCTACTTTATTGTGATACCTAAATATATGAAATCGCAGTTAACATTTTTCGTTGTTTGTGTGTTAAACAAGCTGGTTCTATTAATGAAGGAGACATAACATCTATAAGCATTGTATATGAGGTTATATTTACAATGCTCGCTTGGCAATTCAATATGCATTAATGATGGTTGATATTCTTAGAATGAGACTAAATTATATGAGTACTACAAAAAAACCTATAGAATGAATGTCACTGCATAAATAACACTGAAATTGATTATGTCGCTCTTAAAGTTTTTTAGGCTAGGGTTAGTGTTTTTGAATAATATGAAAAATCAATCACATATGCAAAAGAATCTAAAAGTCTGAAAATAAAAACAAAAGTTTACATAACCCGAAAATCTCAAAGTTTGAAACGCGAATCCATAGGCTTTTCACATAAAATGATCAATACATGAAATAAAAAGAAAAAACTCAAAGTGCAATTGACTTACCTTTCCATTTTTTTTTCTTAGTCTTCAACATAGAATCAAAGACACTCTTAACTGGTTGCTCGATCCAAAGACATTGATTAGGGCATATTTCATTTTGGATTTCCCATATTTTTGTTAGTTGTCGAGCCGACCTACGCGGATGGTACTTGCCTTCATCAAACGAGTAGGACACACATTACTTCTGATGTAGATCATACTTTGGAAAGTACACTCTGTTCCTCATCCCTGGAATATTCATTCCCGTCTCTAAGGAGTAGAGACTCGCAAAGATTGTCAAACCGTTAAAATCATTACCATTCATCTCTACACAGTTGGAAGAGACTAGTTTATACACCATTGGGTTCTCGGGGCCACATGTATACATGAGAAAGAGCTCTCCTTTCTGCTCCACCAAGTAACATCTCTTTGCATGATACAACCATTCATCATTATGAATATCATAAAGGTATCTAGGTTCATCCCAATCTTCAGAACTCAATGTGCGAGAAGCTATGTCAAAGTCAAACAAACGCGCTCCCGAGGCAAAGCAATAGAGGTGACCATTGACATAGAGAAGGTTGCTAAGCCTCTTGAAAGGAAGACAATCTTGAAACTCCTTAATAATCCACTTAGTTGCTCGAGTATAGCAAATGCTTATAGCCATACGATATCTTGGAGTAGCTGGGTTAAACGCCACCACCGCACAAGTACCTGATGTAGGAGCAGAAGAGAAAGCAATGACCTGATACGACAATTTACACTTTGGAAATCTTATGAGCTCTCGAGTAAATGGGTTGAAGAAGAACATGTCTACCAAGCTTGATCTACGCATAAGCAACCATCCGTCTTTCGAGTAGCAAACACTGGTTCTAGCTAACTCAGGCAAGTTCAGTGTGTACATCATCCGTTTCAACAGATCGAAAAGATTAACCAAGTCACCACTCTTAGGGAAGGAGATAACCCAAGGATGTTGTTCCACAATACGAACCAATTCAGCGGCTTTATGCCATGCCTTGAAAACAGCTGATGCACGAAGATTATATTTTAGCAAAAGATAAGAGAGTATCACTTCCAAAATAGTTATTGGAAGATCACTAAAACTGGGAACCGACTTCCTCTCTACCGCATCGTTGTTGGCATCTTTATTTGTCGACCTATATATATTAATATAGATTTGAATGATCAGCAAAACAATAAACATATATGGGGTTTGCTTTTGGAGCTAAGAAACATGAAATATTACAAAACCATGAGACTTAAGAAATGTCTCAAACGATTAATCTTATAATAGTTTCTTGAAAACCCTAATTGTTTCAAAGTGAAAGCTATTATCTTAAATCTAATTCATTGGCCACGAGATTTATTAAGATGCAACAGATCAATTAATCATATTACTCCTCCATTTAATATCATAACTTTGTCAGAAACCCCACATAAATTATTACAATTGAAAAAATAATTTCTAAAACATTGTAGGATATGATTTAGTGACTCCACTACACATGTCTTAAAAATCCCTAAATTTACTGACTCTACTAAATCCAATAGATTTTTCTTCAGATTGAATCCGAATTTAACAAAAATAAAAAAGAATCAAACAAGCTTCAACATCTAATATTATGATTTACTAGAAAAAATGCATGTCCCGTAAAAAGAAGATTATGGTTTAAAAAGCTTAATTGTTTCAAAGTGGAAGTTATAACCTTTAGATAATTCATGGGTAACGAACCCCAAGATGAATAAATCATATTAGATTCTACATCTGATTTTGATATTTTCTCACAAAAACCACAGCAACAATTGCAATTAAAAAACCATCTCTAAAACATCGTGGATATTTCGTAAAACCCCCTAAACAATTTTCTGATTCCTCTAGATTATTCTCTTCGAAGAGAGGAAACCTTGAGAGAGAGAGAAAACTTACATGGAACCTTTAGGATTATGCATTTTGATAAAAAAAGATAAAACACCAGACATAATAAAGTAAGATGCAATTAAGACTGTCAGAAGCGTTTTGTTTTAAATAATAATATTTTCAAGTTTGCTTAAAATTTTTTGGCAAACAAATAACTTTATTTTTTTAGTCAAACTTTCCAAACAAATAACTAATTTTAGAAAAAAAAATATATAAAAGGGAATATACATTAACTTTTACCATACAAATAATGTTAAGAGGGAGTGAATAAGAAAAGAAAACTCGATATTTGCCACGAATGAAATCATGAGTTATATAGTAATATTTTTATAATATAGTAAACTAAATTATGTAATAAAAAAGCTAATACACGATATTCGTCTGTGAACTATATGCCATAAATATGTATAAAATATTGATTCGCATTTACAGCTAGGCGATAAACAATAATAATTTATTTATTTGATATGATGTATTAGCCAGCAAAATGTTGGTTGATTTGTTCGATAATCATATTTTGGTCTACACCAAAGTGGATGCTACATATACACAATTTATAGAGTACTGATCGTTGCGATGAAGGAAAACAAAAATGGCCGCCATATAATTTTTTTTTTTTTTTCATAACTCTAAATCTCAATTCTCAGAGTTTAAAATGCTAATTCATAGGTTTCACATATGATATGATCAATGCATATTAAAAAAAAAAACTCAAAGTACTATTAAAAATTCACATAGTACATTTAATTTGGAATTATATAAGATTCAGCGGCTTCTCGCCATTGCATGCAGACATAATACGAGCGGTATACATCTCTTAAATGAAGACGAGACATTATTTCCTTCAAAATGTCTTGTGGAAGGTCAGCAAAAGAGTGAACCGCTTCGCTCTCCGTCCCATTGCTGTTGACATCTTCGCTGGACCTATAAGAGAAATTTGGATCAAACAAAACAATTAACTATTACAAAACTAAAAAAAAATACTATTACAAAACTATAAGATTACAAATGTCTCAAATTGAGAGTTATCACTCAAAGGAGTCACTAGCCGTTATAAGATGTCACTTCAACATTTATTTAATAAGATAAACATCATTCACCAAAACATATATATGATAAGTTTTCAGTTATCACTCAAAGGAGTCACTAGCCGTTATAGGTACGCCTTAAAAACGCTAATTTGGTCCAAAGTGGAAGTGATAATCTTGAAGGTAATCATTCGCCATGAACTTCAATATGACGCATCAGATCAATTAATCATACTATTAGCTTTTACATTAAATATGACTTTTTCTTCAGGAAAACCACATAAATGATTGCGAAAATAAAAAACATCGTTTAAAATCTCTATATTTTCGTAGATTCCCTCAAATCCGGTATACTTGAAAAGCTAATTTAGATTCAAAAGGAAAAAAAACAAGATAATCTATTTTTTTTTTTAAACCTATAAATATTAGAAGAGAGAAAAAGAGATAACTCACACGATAAGATTTTCTCCTTGGTCAGTCATCTTAATCTACTGCAGATGAAGTGACAGAAGATAAGTCGTTATATATATGAAAAGTAATAATCCTATTTTACTATCTAATTAGAACCAAACATGACAACTTAATTATTATTTTTTGGGATAAAATGTTAATTATATTACCAAAAAGAACTTGACGTTTACAAAAGTTAAGGTAAGATATTCACCAAAAAAAAAAGTCATTAGAATTTAAGTTGTTACTAAAATCAGAATTAAGTAACTTCAAAGATGAGTGAACCATTTGGAGAGAAGGAAGACCCCTCCCTTGTTTCCGATACCGGCGAGCTAGCAAAACATCTTTAGTTTTTCTGTCTATTTGTCGAAAGACAATCTCTGGTGATGAAAGAAGACCATACATTCTTTCCACAGTAGATATATGGTGGCTTGGGTTACAATTTTCTTGAGAGTGGAGGGGATCAAGTGAGGAAGTCCTAACCGACTGAAGACCTTGTTCCAGACTTGCTGTGAGAAGGGGCAATGCAAAAGTAGATGGTATCTTGTTTCATGCTATGTGAAACATAAGACACATTCTGAACTAACATTAATACCCCAACTCCTGAGCCTCGTTCTCAGAGAAAGTTTATTCAAGTTTGTTACCCAAAACATAAAGGAATGTTTAGGTACGCCTGTGGGAAACCAAACTGCCCTAACTCCAACGCTTGACCTAGGAAGGCCTGAGCAGATTCCAAAATGTCTTAGTGTTGAAAAAGCTTGACCTTGTACCTTTGGAACCCCATGTGTACGAGTCTGAACCTAGTGAAGCACTTGGTATGACCGAAAACAGCAGGGGGTTTCTTGTTCTCAGTGAAGGAAGTCGCCAGCCCGTAGCTGTTGGGTTTTTCAAACCCATGTCCAACTCCTCCCATTAGTATGATATTGTCCACTTTGGGTTCAAATGCAAAGTCCGCACGGATTTGTTCTTGGATTCTTTCCCAAAAGGCCTCATACTAATTGAAGTTGGACATTACTTATATATTAGTCAATTCTTGTCTAAACTTCCGATATGGGATTTGGATTGATATCCCAACAATCCCCCCCTCAAACCAAGTACCACATAAACTCGTGGACTTCTACCTTCAGCGAAACTTAGTACCCTTCTTGTACCTCTTGTACTCTTGGTACCTTTATTCGTGAAGTCACCTTTTGAGGGCTCTCCTCCCACAACGAACATGTCCAACCCACTTCTCCAGGTCCACTTTTCTGAACCTAGTCTTTGATACCACTGTTGGGCTTTCCAAGCCCATGTCTAACTCTTCCCATTAGTATGATATTGTCCGCTTTGGACCCAAAGACAAAGTCCGCACGGATTTGTTCTTGGGCTCCTTCCCAAAAAACCTCATACTAATTTGGAGTTGGACATTACTTATATATTAGACAATACATGTCTAAACTTCCGATGTGGGACTTGGATTGATATCCCAACAATAGCCCCAACTCCTTGAAAAGCAGTAGCCTCAAGCGGACACTCAATTATTGTTTAGCAAACGATAATGCTAAAGCAGAGGTGATTAAATATCATACGCAACGCAAGGCCCTATAGCATTTTGCTTTTTAAAGTATTTTCTGAAATTTCATAAATATTTTTGCAACATTAACTTTTATAAATTTTTTTGATATACATCAGATCTGCATATATGAAACTTATATGGATGATTTTATTCTAATAGAATTTGTTTTCTTGTTTAGGAGTTTAG